GAAAGATTGCTATCTGAATGGAAGATATAGATTACAATATTTCAAGAAATATAATTAAATTGTTCGTGGACGAAAACACTATACCATTTATAGCTCGATAACAGGAGGAGCTCACAGGTTTCTATGTCACCCGAGAAATTACGTTCAGTTAAACAAAGTTATGAGGACATAATTAAATAAAAAATCCAAAGCCCTAGCATGGTAACTACTATTAAGAAACGGGCAAATTAACAGAGTCTTTGAAAGATGCATATTATCTGCCAAATCGATGAACGAATTAGAACATATATATGCACCTTTTAAAGTGAGTAAACACTCCCTTGCCGAAAAGCTAGATCTTTAGGACTTGAAAGTACGGCTATACAAATTCTTGAAGGCAAAGGAGTGGTTGATCCTGCTCGTTGTGTGTCAGAAGGTAAAAAAGGTTTAAGTTCTATTCTAGATATTTTGTTAGGAATTCAGCATATAATTGCAGATATTATAAGCAAAGATAGGGATCTGTTAGAGAGTTACAAAAAATATATAAAAATGATAGAATGTTTATTGAAAGTTCATTAGCAAAACACCTAAGAAGGATACCAAACAATCATCTAGTCATGCCAAAAATAAATCAGTTAAAAATGTCGACCAAGAGAAGTTTAAATTATATTTTGATTTCAAATGCAGAACTAGTACCATTCAGCCTTATCAGATATTAGCAATAAATCGTGGGGAATCTCTTAAAGTTCTAAGTGTTAAGATAGTGATTCCTGATGCTGCAAAAAACATCAATACAAAGATTTTGTGAATCCAAATGGCTTCGAAAAGGGACTAACTATCCAACTCGAGATAAATTATTTAAAGATTCATTCCAGGATGCTTATAAAAGACTAATATCTCCTTTAATAACTCGTGAAATTAGAAATAGTTTGAATAAAAAAGCTGAAGACGCTTCAATCCAAGTTTTTAGTAGTAATTTAAAACATTTATTAATGACACAACCTGTGAAAGGTTGCAAAATATTGGGTATTGATCCTGGTTTTTCAAATGGTTGCAAAATGGCTTTGATATCAGAGCTAGGAAAAGTATTAGACACCGCTGTGATATATCCACATTCTGGAAAAACTGCACTCGCTGAAGCTACTGTTGCTAATCTTATGAATAAATATAATTGTTCACTCATTGCTTTAGGAAATGGTACCGCTTGCAGAGAAACCGAGCAGTTTTTGGGTAAGTTGATTAACTCTGGACAGTTACCAAGAGGCACTAGATACAGTATAATAAATGAGAGAGGTGCTTCAATATATTCTTGTAGTGATGAAGCAATTAAAGAGTTTCCAAGACTTGATACAAATCTTCGCAGTGCTGTTTATATAGCTCGTTGTCTACAAGACCCTTTATGTGAAATGGTTAAAATCGATCCTAAACATCTGGGAGTAGGAATGTACCAGCACGATGTTTCTCAGAAGCTTCTTGCATCATCATTACATGAAGTTGTTATAGAATGTGTGAGTTTCGTAGGCGTTGATATAAATACTGTTTCTCACACCTTGTTGAAACAAGTGGCAGGCATAGGTAATTCTAAGGCTGAAAAAATAATTAAATTTCGTGATAGAAATGGACCATTTCGATCAAGAGATGGTGTGAGAGATGTGGCTGGTATCGGGCCTAAAAGTTATATACAATTTATAGGATTTATAAGAGTCGTCAGTGATACTAGTGGCTGTGAAACAAATCCCTTGGATAGAACTTGGATTCATCCAGAAAGCTATCATATAGCTGAAATAATTGCAGAAAGAGCTAAATTATCATTAAAAGACATTGGAAAACAAACGTTTATAGAAAACCTGAAAAGCTATGCAAAAGTCTTCTCTGCTTCCAAATTGGCTGCAGAACTCGTGGTTCCAGAAGCCCAAGTCAATTGGGTAATTGAAAGTTTATCAAGAGACCCCAATAAAGATTATAGATGCGATAGCAAGAGTAATGAACCTTTGTTCAGAAAAAATGTTACGAGCCTGGACGATCTTAAAATAGGAGAGACTTTAACAGGAATTGTTGAAAATGTTACTGATTTTGGGGCTTTTGTGGACATTGGTGTGGGGACTGCGGGACTTATACATGTTAGTAATTTGAGAAAACATCCTAACCCTATTGAACTAGGATACCGAGTTGAAGTTAAGATTGTGAATCTTGAAATTGAAAGAAAACGAATCGGTTTAGACTTGTTACAAGTATTATGAGTTATATTGATAAATATTTTTATACAGAAAAAATAGTTTTGTTATTTCTATTTTGTAATATTACTGCAAATAAAACAATGGTAAATAAATTTTGATAATTTGTTGATATTGAAAACATTACAGTACAATTGAATATTTTAATTCAATTCAGTTGTTAGTATTTTGCTCTTATGCTTGTTTCTTCACAAAGAAAATTATAGGTGACTGACTAAGCAAAGATTAAACGGCATTTAGCCTTCAGGCAAGTTGCATGAACTTGATGAATTAACTTCATGTAAGGTACCTTTACGTTTCAAAAGTTTCTAGTAAAAATTGTTGTATGTTAGTGTGTGTGTACGCTGTGCGGATACAAATTTTCGTCGACGATTTTGGGAACACCGATCAACCATTTGAATAGTTCAAAAAACATTCGATTCGTATTGATAATGAGACGTGCTGATTAGTTTTGGCAAAGGCAGGTCTAGCCGTTTCGAAGGTACGGGGCAAAAAGTGCCCCAAAAACGGTAATTCAGTTTTTAAGAGAAGGGAGCGTCCGATTTTAATAATTCAAAATACATTTTACTTGTATTGACAAGGTGAAGAACTGATTAATTTTTTGGAAAGGCAGGTCTAGCGCACTTCGGAGATCTAGTAAAAAAAATGCCATTAGGCGGTCAAAAATTATTATTAGACATATGCATATCACAAATTATCAGATATTTTATGGAGATTTTAATAATGTGTTTCAATTTTGTTTACGTTTCTATGGGTTTCGTAACATCGTTTGTCCGTTAGACAGCGACGCGGCGCTTACGCGCTTCGATATTTTATCTCTCGCATCTAAAGCAGTGCGATTGCTTTGAAAAAAAGATTAAATTTCCAAAATATTTCAAAATGAAAAACAAAAAATTTCTCCAAGTGTTTTTTTCAAAAAATCTTTTTTTTTCAAAAATTTAAAATTTCTCAAAAATCTAATTTTTTCAAAGTTAAAAAAAAAATTAATCCTTTTTAAAAAATTTAATTTTTGGTACGGGAAGTTCCAGCAATTGGCCTTAAGGCGCGATGCCATACACCATCACTAGTTTATAAGTGATTCATCTCAATAAAATGTGAGAAAATATTCAATTTTTTATATTAATTATATTTCAATATGTTAAGAGCAGGACTACTCTATTGTCAAATATTTTCCTGAAAATTTAATTGAAAGTTTCAAATTTATAGAATTATATTTAACATTATGAAACGTTCTCAGCATATAATTAAAATGACTATAATTTGTATTAAACAAATTGAATTGAAATAAAAAGCTTTGATAATTAATAAGTTTAATATTACTACAAATAAAACAATTCATAAGTAAATTTTGATATATTTGCACTTAATAACAAAGTACTTGCCGAATATGCTATATCTAATGGTGATCACATAACTGCACGATATAACTAAATGGACAAAACAATTTTAAAGCGGCAACTATTGAAATCATAAATTTAATCACTTTATTTTCATTTCATTATTATTATTATGGGTCGTACAACTAGCTAAGTAGTTATTGAATTGTTAACAGATCAATCTACTATATGTCATGAATACAATGCCTTTTGTTTCAATCTTTTAGTGGAAAATAGTTAAAGATGAATCTTTAATTAAATCCATTCCAGGTTCTCAGAGCTGTTCTTTTAATTATATGTTTCGGTTTAAATTACATGTGTATGCATATTGATTGGATACAATTAGTCTACCTACAAATGATCTAAAGGCATTCTAATGTGCATGGTTGTCTTACAAGTCTACAAACATTTTAAAGAATTAATTTTTAATTATATTTAGTCTGATAGAACTGAGTAAAACAATATATCATCCCTCTAAGTACGGTTCTATATAAATTCCATAATGTTACACTCAATTATATCAGACTAAATATAATAAGTTTTAAATTTTCAGTCCTCTAAAATATGTGTACGCTTACGGGAACAAATTTGCTTATATCAATTTATAAACATCGATTACTTATATTAGTCATATTTTAGAGGATTTATATAACTAGTTCTGTACAAAAAATGTTATGAACAACTGAACCCTGTAATACGAATTATTACAATCTCAAAACACTCGTGAAAGCAGAATCTCCAAGTCCACATATATTTTTGGTAAAGTAATAATTAATATTTTATTACAACAAAACAACAATTTTAAATTATTGACTTTGTGGAAGAATAATACTAGTAATTTCATTTGATTTTTATTTGAAAATTTATGTTGATTTGGAGATTTACAAAAATGTTCTTCTTAAATACAACAAATATCACTTGTATAAACATGTATAACGAGGTGTGTGTGTTATAAATGCACATATTTAAAAGTTTTGAATAATCACAGAGGATGAAACATAAAAAGCATTCTATATTCTAACAAAAATACACAGTGCAAAATTATTTTTATAAAATTCATATTACTGCATTTATGTAAAATATATATATATATATATATATATATATATACATATATATATATATATGTTTTTATATAGAAATTTGGGAAGCCTCAAAGAGTTCCATTATAAAATTTCATTTCTGTGTGCAATTATTCAACTGCACAAAAACGAGATTGTAATCATTCATTCAGGAAGGCTATTTTTAGAGATTCTTCTCTCAACAAATTTAAATATTCACCTAATTCAGCCAAGGATGCTTCAGACATTCCGCAGCCGTTGCTCTCTTATTTGGATCAAAATCTAACATAGGTTTTAAGAATTCTGCAAATTCTGTGGCCTCTTGCAGACTCCATTCATATTTTTCAGTCAGCACATCGACAAGGCCCCAAGGTTTCAGCCCCGTAATGTGGCGCAGTTCGCACTTTTTATTGAAAACTAAATATGAAAACTTGCCGGATAGTGCAATTTTTCTAGGAATTTCTCCCAGTAATTCTATTATATGTGCTAAGTGATCTTCATCTCGGTTATAGTCCTCACCAGAATGGGGTTCAAATAGATAATCTCCAGTCGCCAACTCGAATGCCATGCAGGCTGTGCTCCAGATATCAGCCGAAGTGTTGTACCCCGCACCTAGAAGCACTTCTAAAGATCTATACTGCCTAGTTTGAATGTCCTCTGTAAAATGCTTATTGACCCAGCAGGCATTTCCTAAATCAGCTATTTTGACTTCAACATCACAAGGCACTAAGGCTGGATCTGGAGGCGGTTCTGTTTTTATAGAATTTGGTCGTTGAACTTCACGTTCTGGACTGTTATTTGAATTATTTTCAGTTGGTTCACCACTTCCCTCTTTTATTCTCACTACTGTGTCGCCCCCTTCACCCGCAGGAGTATTAGAGTCCTCATCAGCAGACTGTTTTTCACCGCCTGCCATTCCATCAGAAGTGGGTTCTGATTTTTCTGATTTCGTTGAACATCCATTCACCTGCATTGTTATCGGGTTATTATCACTATCTGGTGTTGCGGTATCTTTGATGCTATCATCATCACCATCAGGGGATCGAACTTCATTAACACTAGTACTAGAATCTTCAGGTGATTGGACATTTGAATTCTCACTACTATCTAAATTACTTATTTCAACCTCACCATTTTCTGATACGCTAGTCCTAAGTTCCTTCATTTCTTCAATCTGTTCCATTTGCTTGCGCAACAGCTCAGATTGACGTTTCGCTTTCTTTTTTAGTTTCTTCTTTTTGTTTTTGCTCATTTTTGTTTTTAAACTTTGCTCCTGAAACTCTTTAGGAGCTGTGCTTATTAAAGACGTAGGTAATTTCAAGCCCTTACTATGTAATTCCGTTGCCTCGCAAGCTAATTTTCTGATATAGTTCTCATCAACACAGACTAGTACATTTTCAGGTTTGATATCTGTGTGTATGATCTTACACTTGGTGTGCAAATAATCCAAACCCTCCAACACTTGTCGAATGATGACTTTGACATTGGCTCGTGGAATACCGCGATAATTCGATTTCAGTATTAACTTGAGCAAGTGATGTCCTAAAACTTCGAATACCATACAAATGTGAGTACCATTGATGCCACTTATTTTAAAATCGTTCAGCAACTGTACAGTCTTATCCCGTTTTGGATCCGTGGGGTCGCTGTCACGAACGGCTTTTAATATTTTGATTTCATCTCTGGCAGTCTCTGTGAAATGAGGCGCTGATTTCACGACTTTAAGAGCTACGAATCTTTTATCCACGAGGTCCCAGCACAGCCAAACCGTTGAAAAGTGTCCCCAGCCCAGTTTGCGTGTGACATGGTACCGGGAGAGGAACAGGTCTCCGATTTTGACGGGATGGTAGCCGCCTTTGCAATAATCCGAAGTGTCTTCCTGCTCCTCCTCTTCCTCGCTCGTGTAGATCTCTTCCTCATCCTCTATCGTTTCGTTAGAGGAGCTATGTGACGGCTCAAACCTGTTATTGTATCTGTTATTTCCCTGATTGTTCTCGTCATTTTTGGCTTTCTTCTTGCCTTGCTTATGACGCTTCTTCTTCGCTTGAATGGCGAGCAGCCGCCTATTAACATCTGATTTGGAACTCATTTAGAATAAATTACGGATTTGAAACAACTAAAAAAACGTAAAACCCAATTAATTCATTGCGATAGCTTTTGTTTGAGTATGGCGGCCGAATAAAAGAACAAAACGAAATCGGTCATAATGGCATGAATGAATAACTTCTCCGTGCCGTCCTTTGCTGTCAAGTCGACCATTCGCGAAATGCTACCAACCGACGGCGGCAATGGCGATCGGAATGCGGCAATTTGAAAATTGCGAAAGCGGCAATTGTGCAATTCGTTTTTATTGACAGTAACGATTTGACGGACTATACGATTGTATATTGTTCGTTTTCCATGACATTTACATTTGAATTAAATTCATTTAGTTAATTTTCACTAAATTCATAATCGCTTTTGTTGGCATTTTGAATTTGTGTCTCCTAGACAATATAATAACAATAATGATATAATATAATGATATAATATAATAATAAATATAATGTTGTGTCTTGAAATCAAAGATAAATTTAATACTTACATTTGAATTAATATTAAGTGTAAATAGATAATCACATTTAAAATCCATTATATTTTGTTCAAAATTATCAGCTTAAAGTTTTGAATGTACACACAATTATAGTTAAGTTACTCAACTTAGTAATTAATCAATATTCAGTTTAAAAAGTTTGTAAAAGACAAATTTATGTAAAAAAAGGAAATTTTATCATATCGATAAATTCGAATGACAGTGACTTATACTTTGACAGTGAATTATACTTGTTTATCTATGGACAGTGACATATTCTACCTGACTGTCGGAACAGATTAGTGACCATTTTCATTGGTTATGTTGGTAGAATCTTGCTGACGACCATTAACTGTCAGTTTTGGAGGGAACAACGGATTTCGTGTTTGACTTTTTTATTTCCCGAAAAAATATATTTTATCATTAGTCTATTGTAAGTTTTAAGTTTAAAATAATTCAACAATGGCTCAGCCATCAATCACATCATATTTTAACACGAGAAAACGTGCTGCAATCGACGATATTAGTAGTGCTAGGAACAAGGTGATGCTTTTGGATAATGACGCTTCACAGGGTGACATTGGCCTTATTGCTAAAGCCATTTTACTAAAAGGTGTAGATACTCAATTCAACGAAAAGATTAAACAGAAGACCATAGAGCCTAAGAGGAATCGTGTTGTTACCAAGTTGGACTTTGATTCTCCGGTTCGTAAGACCCCAGTACGAAGGGTTGCAAATAAAAGCAAAAATGCTACTACACCTAAGCCTCAACCGAAACAGAACTGTATTTTTACACAACTGGGCTCTTTGTCGCCAGTTAAAAAAGCTCAACCTCCTAAAGAAATCATTCTCAAAAAAGCTACTCCTGAAGTTACTAATGCAGCTCCTGCTGTCAAAAAAGAGGAATCAATTAAACAAGATAATGCTGTGCCAGCCGAAACAAATCAAAATAAGAAAGATGAAACCAAAGGAACTTTATCTGCACTTAATGCTAAAACTGATATCAAAGATATGTCTTATGCGGAGATTAAAACTAAACTTACAAAAAGTTCTCGATTGGAAGAACTTAAGGCTAGAGTTAACAAACTGAATGAGGGCATGAAAAAATTGGACGAGAAGAAATTACCAAAACTTGAGAAACCAAGCTTGAAAGAGTTCAAAACTATTGACTTGGTAGTAACCACGAGGTGAGCATATAAAATCATATTATTTAATGCATGTTAGGGGTAACATCATTGTAATAGATTAATAAACGTTTAGATAAAGGAAAATATTTTAAAATGGCGCCTCACAGCAATAAGAGTTTGTAAAGATATTGATTTTTATGTAATTAAGCGAGTATTTGTGTTAAATCAAGATTTGCAGTGGCGTTACCTCTTTAGTATGGAAAAAATACTGCATACTTGTCTAAATACGACTCTTTGTACTCTTATATGTTTGAAATAGTATGATTTGTTCCTTTTAAGGCGATATGAAAATCCAAAGGGTAAAGCAATGCTTTATTTGCACTAGATTCAATACATATTTAATATCATCTTTGTTTATTTCCAGTTATTCTTATTAATAAATAAGAAATACATTTACATGTTATACAAAAGCACAGAATATAAAAGTTTTACATGTTTTTCTGTGATTAAATATTGACGAATTTAAATTCTTCACTCCTAATTAATATAAATTCTGGATCATGCAATATAAGTAATTTCTTCAATTGAAATATAATTCATATAAAAATTTAACAAAGGATTTCCTTAATAAAGTAATTTAATCAACAAAAATTCTATTAAGACATGTGATATAAATAATCTTTAATTGAATTATCATTCATATAATTTTACAAAAACTCACTTATTAAAATGATTATTTTTTTAATAAATAAATGGAAATTCTATCAAAACTTGAGTAGATGGATTTTTATTATGAAATATCGGGATTTCTATATTTGCATTCTTTAATTTTAAATTCTTATTAGTTCAGATTTATCAAAGGTTATCATCAGTAAATTCTCGATTGATTTATTTTGAATTCCATAAATATATTATGGAATTAAATTAAGGTTATCATCAGCAAATTCTCGACTGATGTATTTTGAATTCCATGCACAAATATTATGAATAGAATTCTTTCAAATTCTTGTAACAAGAATTTTTTTTGGTATGTTATCTTTACATTTTTGTAGATATCTTTCAAGTAAAGTATTCAGGAATTTTCTAATAATTAAGTCATAGCATACTATATCGTACAAATATTTTAAATATTTTATTTGGAAATTTAACTGCATTTTTAATTGTAATTAATGGTTAAACCTCGGTTCTGGTTGTACATAGTTAAATTAAAATTAATTTAATTGACTGATTAAGAATTATTGTTTGCAAAATTTATAATCTTATAGATTTTGCAGAGACATATTATCTTTTGAAGTCTGATTCAAATAAATAAAAACTTTATTTTATATGTACAAACAGTGGTCAGTAATAACTATATCTAAAATAATAAATCTAATAATTATTGTATATCTAAATAATTTAAATTAAATTACCAATTGCCTTAACTTAGAATTTGAAATTAATTCTATAACATATTTTTAGTGAATTTTGCCAACTAATTACAACTATATTATTCATTTTACAACGCTTTCCAAAAGTAATTTACCTGTATATCTTTTCACTAGCTAATTAAAATTATATAATATATATTCTATCACTGATGAAAACTATTACAGTATTGTTAAAATACTTATAAATTGATATTAATGTACTATAAATATTATTACACAATCGTTTGAACCTATTACACATAGAAATACTTTTATGCTTGCATTTATTTGTCCCCATATAATAAAAAATGCAATCAAGCATAAAAAGTAGATCGTGTTATACTTATTCAATCGATTATTGTTGTTATATGGGCAATCTTATTGGAAATCAATTAGTAGTTCAATAGAGTAAGTCTTTGTGCAAAGTTGAAGATATTTTAATTTAATATTTATATTACTATTGTTGTTAATAATATTGATATTATTATTGTTGTTAATAATATTTGTTAAAATGAGATCGGATTTTATGGACATATTTTATTATTTTGAACTAAGGTAATTTGTTAATATTTTTATTAATGGATTTATTTTATGTAAGATAACTGAGTTTTGAACATGAATTTTTTTCTGAATAATAATTAAGTTATTATTTGTTATCTATTATTGTTAATACTAATTTTTTCTGCTATAATTTAATTTTTTAACTATTATTTTAATAATAATTTATTCTGCTCTAAATGTGACTAAAAAAGTAAATTATATAATTAATTTTTCATAGGGTAAGTTATGGTAATCGCAAAAAAACAAATGAAAATTTCTTAACGTTTCAAAGGTATCAGAACTTTTTGGTTAACTTTAGAAAAAATAGATATGTGTGTGTGTATGTGCGTGCGTGTGTTTGTATGTAAGTGCGGATACAATTTTTCGTCGACGGTTTCGGGAACACGGTTAAACCGATTTGAATGATTCAAAAAGCATTCGATTCCTATTGATAAGGAGACGTGTTGATTAGTTTTTGACAAAGGCAAGTCCAGCCGTTTTGGAGATACATGGCAAAAAATGACAAAAATTGTGGTTCAGTTTTTAAGAGAACGGAGCGTCCGGTTTCAATAATTCAAAAAACTGTTTATTTGTATTGACAAAATGAAAAACTGATTAAATTTTTGCGAAGGCAGGTTTAGCGGTTTTGGAAATCCAATGAAAAAAGTAACAAAATTGCCATTTGACGGTCTAAAATGATCATTAGACATATGCACATTAAATGATCAGATATTTTATATAGATTTTGATAATAAGAACAAATTTTGTTTATATTTCTACGCGGCGCTTACGCGCTCGATATTTCTTACCTAAGACAGCCACTGATTTCTTACCTAAGACAGCCAAAATTTTCAAAAAAACATTCAAAATATTAAAATGAGCATTAAAATAAATTAAGATTATAAAGATGTTTCAAAAATTTCGAAATTTTCTAAAATCTCACATTTTTTTTTCCAAAAATTAAATTCTCGGTACAGGAAGTTTTAGCAATTTGCCTTAAGGCACGATTCCATGACCACCAGTTACTGATTTGCGTTATATTAAATGTAGTATTATTTGTTTAATTTGAGTTTGGTAATAATTGGTTACAGTAGTGTATTTTCTTACAATTTAGTTCAATCTGGTTTAAGAACATAGTTTCTTATTTTATCTTACTTTAATCTTATTCTGGACTATCAAATGTTTCATTAACTTCAAAGACAATCTCCTATTAATTCTATGTAGAACATGAAGTTCCTTAGAAAAAGTCCTAGATCTAGTATTTATCTACTTACAATTTTTTTCTAATATTTAATCGCCAGGCTAAAGCGAAAATTACCCATTTAGTAACTTGTATTATTTTTTTCTTCACCTTTGCATTTTTTTAATTTAATATTATACCTACTCCTAATACAGTCTCCACTGGTAGTACCATCTATTATAATCAAATTATAATGTTATCAATTTTTTACATCTTTTTCATATATTGTCATTATTAATTTTTGTGTCCTTTACCATTTCAGTCCTCAGAAAGTTCTGACTCCTCCAAGGAAAACCCTATACAGTCCACACAAGGTGCTGCCCAAGTACAACAATGGAGGCTGCGAACAGCTCATGTCGC